ATGCAAACAGGAAGAACAAGTAGCTCCATTCAGAAAGCTGTCACCCTTCTCCATTTGCATCCATCCGTGTCCCAGTCCCACGCTGCTGTTGCCTGGGCTCGTGTTGGTTTTACTTTCAAAAGCATCCGTGGCTTGCACAGCCCCGGTCCGGTCACGCCTGAGCGTCTGCTCCCCTTCGTGTGCCTGTTTGGGAATGTTGTTGTGATAGTTACACGGTGCATGGACGAAAACAAATAAAACAAAGCAAAGCGTTCTCTGTATATAGTAGAGCATAGCGCACACCCATCTCCCGGTCGGCAGCGCCAGGGGACACTGAAGACAGGAGTGAGTTTCTTTCCAGCCCGGCTGTGGCTTCCGTGCAGTGACTGCGTCTGTGACCAGGGCTGCCAGGAGGAAATGGCTCGTGTTCGCGGAGCTGCACATTCATTTCTAAGAAGCAATAACTGTCACGGGGAGAGTGAAAGCTGTGGGGAGGACAGCAGGCAAAGTGCAAAGGATCTTCCTGGAAAATGAGCCATGTGCAACTCACCAGAGCCTCTAAAAAGCCGCCCGCTGCTTCGGGAAGGCCCCGGAAAGGTGCGGCGGGGGTGCGCTAGGCGCGCCTGGCCTGCGGGAGCCTCTGTTTTCACAGCGCCCGCCCCTGAAGTATTTATTTCACATCTGCTCTGTCTGGCACAGATGGTAGATAGTGCTGGTTTGTTCCTTTTATTTTTTTATGTGAAAGGCTATTTTGAGCCCTGTTTCTTTCACGTCCAGACCCCTCTGATTGTATCTGCAGTTCCTGAGTAGGAAAGAAGCCAGGCTGACCAAAGGGTCTTCACAAATGAGTCTTCTGCACTCATGACTAAGGGGTGGGCAATTAAAGGGGAAGATGAGTGCCTCCCGGCAGGGCTACACTGGAGGTTTTAACCCTGGAAAGGGAATGGCTCTTTCTATTTCAAAATACCAAAGAGCATGGATAAACCCACATTCCATAGTAGTGAGTCCGCTAATGAGAAAAAACGGAGTCACGGTGGTCCCCTCGCAGAGATTTCTCAACCTGTAAAGATTCCCAGGCTGGAGACACTCCTAGCCCTCTGTATTGATTCAAAGATACTTAAGAAGTAAAAACTGTTGAGAGCTATTTTCTCTTTTTCCACTCAATGATCATGATCATTCATCATTTACTAGCTATTTAGTGACTGAATGAATAATTAAATGCTGGCTACCCACTCAATAGGCCAGGTACTATGTTACCTCCTGGGGACTAAACCATGATCCCTGCCTTCAGGGGGTTCAAAGTTAATGTAATTGCTCTTTCCATGAGTAACAGTTAACCCAGCCACAAGGAAACAGATTTATCTTGCAAGGAAAAAGACAATTATGAAACTTTAAAAATAAACACATTGAAATTGTGCAAAATACAATTATTCAAATGCCTAAGGATTTTATTGTTGTTGTTGTTGTTTGAACTAAGAGAGTATAAAGAAAGCATAGATTAGGAAAAGCATCCTAGGTGTCCTTGGCCAATCTTGCAGATAGCACATCTCCTCATCTTAAACCAAGAAAGGCAATCATGTCGGTATTCCGAATCACTGAGAAGGCCCAGTTAATCCCAGTTTGTATCTTGGTTTAGCAACAATGCTTTTCTGTGCCCCCACCTCAACAATTCTTCTTATCTCCTGGAGACTCGCTCCTGACCTATCATGGCCCAACACACTGGTGGCCTAACTCCTTTGGGGGGTCACACTCCAACTCCCTTTTTTTCCCCGAAGATTTACTAAATGGAAAGCTATCCTAGAAACACCAAGTAAATATTGTCAAGGGATATAAGCTGTTTAAACATTAGAAAGATTTTGCACTCATTTTTAGCCATATTTGGAACGTCAGTGATCCCGTAGCAAATTGTCACAGAGGACTTTTGAGGAATTCTTGCCATTGGTCAATTTCAATTTCAAAGCTTTTCGGTTTGTTTGCTTTTTAAATTTTTATGTTATAGGGAAACTATGATTCTGGTTGTTCAGGGTTTGTTAGTAATTCTAGTTGTGTAAAATTATTTTATTTTGTTTGATTATTTTATTTTGTGTGTATTGTGCACAGCTTTAGGGGGAAATGCATTCATCGTGCGGTTCCTCATCCATGGTACACGTTATGGACACAAACGAATAAAGCTTCTCATTGTTTCTGACTTAATCACTAGTGATACAGCATATTCTGTACGGAATGTTTTCTCTCTTCTCATTGTCATCTACTTCATTCTTTTGTTTTCATGTTTTAAAGAAATAAAAACCCAAAAGGTATTATTGTGCAATTGGTATCCTTGTCCAAAAGAAAGAAAATAGGTATATTAGTATTCGACTTTTACAAATATAAACCCTTTTCAATGTCCCAAGAGAGCACAGTATGAGAATATTGTCTATCTGACAGTGTTGAGATGCATGTTGGACATGTCACCATCTCACTAATTGTTTTCTTACATCATTTATTGCCACTTTATCTGCATCCTTTCTGCATCCAAGAACATGAGCCCCCAAACAGTTACACATCAGACCACTTTTTAACACCTGGGGTATTGTATCAAATCAGTCAATTGGGATTGACTGATTTGATACAATCATCAGAAGTGTGTAACTAGTTGCTTCCCTAATTGTCCACCGTATACATGTAAATAACACTTTATTCACCTGACCGTCTTAAAAATTTTTAGAATTCCTCATTATACTCATATTTGGTCATGTGGGAACACTTCCATATGTGAAGGAAACAAGGTATAATTTAAACATTTTATTGGATCAACAATGAATGTGTTTCTTGGGATCCAATCTTTGGTTTAACAAAAAATGAACAGCCAACATTTACTTTTTTAAATGGCAAAAAGTAATTAAATGACCAGAGTCTCCTTGACTGTTTAACAACCCTTCAGCAAATGTCGTAACCCAATGAATCTCAACCTTTCATAAGCTAACTTTAATTATTTCAAAGATTCTAATTCAAGCCTGCCACCAGTGAAGATTTTACAGAACTTTGGTATCTGAGGTTAACAACATAGTCAAACACACTAAGTTTTTTCTTGCTGCTTTTCAAAGAAAAAATTTTTTATAAAATATGCTGTTTTAAGCAACCCTACAGATATTCTAATAGGTGGCTGTCATCCACAATGAGAATCCCTAATGCAGCACCTTTCCCCCAGTGGCCTCGTTACTAGTAAAAGCTCACCGTCCACACTGCCTTTCCCCAACAGGGCTTGATTCACTGTTGATCCCATAGCCCAGGGCCCCTGATCCTAACCTGTTAAAATGAAGTGAGATTGACTGACTGACTTGCTCTGCGTACATCTGAGAACTTTGTGGAAGCAATTAGAAAAATAACAAATTTCCTCTGGTAGATAATAAAGCCCTCCGTTCTCAGATAGTGACAAAACTTTCTCAAGAATATAAACCAGCCCCTTTAAGGCTCCTTTCAACGTTTCCTGGCTCAAAGTGTGGAGTCTCTCTTTTGATTCTGGTTTTCTGTCTCTGATGTTGGGCAGTTATACCCAGAGCAAGTCTTAAGTATAGTTTCAGAACTTCAAGAACACTTGGCCATTTCATGACTGACCATGTACAATACTAGATCTCACCCGGACCTACAATTGGCATTCGGCTTTTGTTGTAGTAATCACTCCACTCCACTGGGTCACGGCATTCTAGCTATTGGTAAAAATCAATTTCAATCGATAAAAGAGTGCAATATGTAGAAAGGACTTACAAAGTCATAGTTATCTTAGAGGGAAAGAAAGGTGCTGTTATGAGTGGGTTCGTTGGCTTTCATTCTAATCCACCTACACATTTTTGGTAACGGGTTGCATTTCTTCTCTCCTTTTCAAGCATCACATTCTCATCACTTCTAGCCACATTCATTGTCTTCCACCCACCATTTTTCAAGTGTAGGGTGGTCCTGATGGTATTTCACCAATGAGGATAACACAAGAAGGGGAAGCCATTGTAAGTTAGATATTTCATTTTTGGTGCTTAGTTAGGCCATGGTTAATCACCTCCCAAACCAGAGAATGTGTTGTTATCTATAGAAGGAG